CGGTAGCGATCCTTCCTTGGGAAAGGCGAGGGGAAGGAACCTGGCCCTGCCCGGAGGGCTGTACACCCTCCAGCTCCAGGGCAGATGCCTTGCCGGCCCAGCCGCTGGAGGAGCCCGACTGGGACCGGCCGGGTTAGATGTGGAGCCACAGCCTGCGCCTTGTTCTTCCAGCTGCCGGAGGAGCCCGCCTAGGACAGGCTGGCTTGGTAGCATAGCCCCCGCCTGCCAGACAAGCCAGCTTTGGACAGGCTGGTTTAGATGCAGCCCCCTATGCCTTGCCTCTCTAGGTGCCAGAGGAGCCTGCCTAGGACAGGCTGGCTTAGATGTAGCTCTGTGCATCCATCCTGCCAGACTAGTCCTCCTGGGACAGGCTACTTTGGCTTGGTTTGATTTAGTTGAGTTGAGTGAGTGTTTGCTGTTTGTTTGGTTTTTTTTCTTTGGCCTTCCAACCATTTGCCAGCTTTTAGTTGTCATGATGGTTTAGATAGGCTGGCTTGGTTGAGTAGGTTTTTTGGGTTTGTGGGTTTTTTCATTTTGTTGTGTTTTGTTTCTTGGACTTCTAACCGGTTGCCAGCTCTCGGGCATCACAAGCAAGCACTCTGTCTCAGCCCCTGCTGGGAAGCTGTGGGCCCCAGTTCAGCAGAATTCGTTAATCAGTGCCCAAGCCTGTTGACCCTGTTCAGGTTCACCCACTTGCAGCCGTGCGGGGGTGTGGAGAGAAGGCGTGTGGCAAGGGCAAGGAGCAGTTGTGGGTGGGTTGGATTGAGTGGGGGTTGAAGTAGCCAGGCCCAATGCCAGTGTGTGGTGAGTTGGGGGTGGGATAAGCAGCCAGGCCCAACAGCATCCTGCTGTTGTTCTCTGTCTCTGAAAAGACACACCAGCTTTCATCCATGCAGGAAAAAACGCTCTTTTAACCCTTTCAAGAGCACTGAAAGGGTGGGTGTCTCAGCCCCGTTTGTTTTCTAGTAACAGGCACAAGTCAGTGACACTAGGCCTGTTTGCATCTTTGTTGTACAACTTGAACTCAGTTAGAAGGTAGATATTGTGGTGTCAATATGCAGGGATTTGGTAGCCTGAATTTGCTGAACTGGCAGTCTGTTTTCCAGTGCTCAGCATGCCACATACAGTTTGAAAACAAGATCCAGAAAAATCATAGTGTGTTTAGAACAGCAAGTGGCAACGGTCCTAGGGGCTACATTTAGTAACTGGAAGAATGTCAGATATGCTAGTTATTGCATAAAATTACTCTTTGTACTCTGAACACTACTCAGACAAATCATGAAAATATGGAAGAGAAAATCCTGTTCCTCTAGATCAGTGATAAAGCTCTGCTGCTTTTCACCATTGCACCTGAAATCTTTGGAAGCCATATTAGTAATACAGGATGGGTCCAATATTTAAAGTTTATTAAGAACCTAAGTAATGTGATATCACACACAAATGCAACTGTGTTCAGGAGTTACTTCTCAGAGCTGGACACTCCTCTGTGTATTTTAATGCTACCCCCCGCCCAAACGCTATAAGAAAGAAGGAAAAAAAAAAAGAGCCACAGTAGAAGAAGAATAGTCATTTAAACTGTAGTATCTTCAGAGCAGGGACCAAAGAAACTTGATGCACATGTTATGAACAATGAACAGTTCATTAGTTCTCAAAGTTCCCTCTAAAATATAACATTTGTTAATAATCTAAGTAAAATGATAGCTGTATATTACATGCTTGGGTGGTATTGATGATCTGTGAAGCTGACAATTCCTTTCAATGCATTTAATATATTTTCTGTCATAAGCCTTTTATACTCAGAAATAGCTAACATTGCATCTGAAACAAGTCCTTAGGTTATTGTTCTTTGTTTGCTTTTTTTTTTAAATTTTGCTTTTAAAGTGATCAAATAGAAAGAAGGGAATAGGTTTATCATCTGTTTGTTTACATCTGGACAGATTTTGTAGGGTGTTGCTTAGAGAAAACAAATAGCCAGCCCAGCTTTTATTTGCAGTTTATTTGCTAAAAACCTTTTATTTGAAGTTTCTTCTTGAACCAGTTTAGGATTGCACTTGGAGTTTTACATACCTTTAGTAAAGTCATTTAAAAAAATAAAAAGGACTGGAGAACATTTGTTGATGTCCTTTACCTGATAAGGAATTTCAAAACGCATACAAGTTTCTAGACAGTTTCTGTGAGGCTGAAACAATCAACATCAGGAGGAGGTAAAAGGTGGGGGGGAGGAGGAAAGTGTTTAAACAAACAGCTTTTCAATAGAGTCTGAGTAGAGCATTTATTCTCACTTTTTACGTCGTCATGATAAACTTGAACACCACCCCAAAAAAAATGGTACTTCCTTGTCTGAGCTTCCTTGCTGAATAAATGCACAGTAATCTTATCACTTTTTATTCCATTAAATAGACTTCAGAGTACAAGTCCTGAGATCACACAGTTGTTTCTTTGTATTATACATTATATGACAGTACTTCTGCCAGTATGACAATACTTGTGTCACTGCAATCAAGTTATTGGTTTCATTGGTTTCAGTTAGAAACCCTTTCAAGTGGAAACTTGAGAGGTAGCCTGAAACTTGTTTTAAAAAAAAAAAAAAAAAAGAAAAAAATTAGTTACACTTTCAGTTATGAAGCCTGCAAAGTTTAACTGATGGTTTGGGGTTGCTTTCTCTCTCATTTAAAGAAAATCAGGTCACTAGTTTTTGGGTTTTGGTTTTTTGTTTTGTTTTGGTTGGGGTTTTTTTGGAATAGGCAACTCTAACATTCCCATAAAATGGGAGAGTTAAAACACGTACCATCCAGACATGACATGGTAAAAACCATACTAAAAATGTATTTTACTGTACATGGGGGTTGGTTGTAGCCGTGTTGGTCTAAGGGCATAGGCAGAGAAAGTTCTTTGGGTAAATCCAGTATCTTTTATTAGACCAACTAAAATAGTTGGAAAAATTCTTCTTTGCAAGCTTTTGGGTACAAACACCCTGCTTCAGGCAGAAAGAAGAAACATCTGTAGTTATATGCTTTTCCTGGATGGGAGACAAGAAGCCTCTGGCTTCTATTCTATCCCATCCAGGAAGAGCACATAGCTGCAGAGGCAACCTCTGGCTGAAGCAAGGTGTTTGTACCTGAAAACTTGCAGAGAAGAAGTTTTCCAGCTATTTCAGTTGGTCTAATAAAAGATATTGTATTTATCCAAAGAACCTATACTGCACATTGCCTTTGAAATGCCCAAAGAACCAAAGTTGGTATTGTGTAATTCCCTTCCTTTATAGTGGGTTGTCTTTTCCCTGATACTTCTCAAACGCTTATTCAACTGACCACAAGACTCCCATGACAAATAATCGAAACATAGCTATCAACAAGCTATTATTTTTAGGCTATTAAGTTTCACATTTTGAATGCAACCTACATGCAATAGTCTGCTTGATTGAATTAAGTGTACTCTGGATCGTTCTCAGTTATGAATTTTGCCTGATAAAGAACTCATTACAATCTGTCTCCTCTCTTGAATATCCCAAACGTTTTATGGCTGGCTTGTGGGGTTTTTTTAAGAGGCAGTAAAAGACAAATAACTCCATATCTGAGTATGCTTGAGGCCTTGCCTACATTGCAGAGTTATGTCAACTAGCAGTATGAAGAGATCACACCCCATAACTGATACAGCTTGTTTCTGTTGATTTTTAAAGCCCTTGGAAAGAGAGTGCTGAATTGGGCCCTGCCCAAGTACATAGCACATAACCTAGTTCTGTTCTTGCTCCACCTTACTCAACCTGTTCTGTTCTAGAGCAGATAAGATGTTTCTGTTGGTGAATATGCACTTACAGAGGTAATAATATGTTCCCCGCATTCTGTTTCTATTTCTCAGATGAGTGATTTTGGAATTAAGAACATGGATCAGGTAGCTCCTGTGTCTAACCTCTACAGAGGAATCCTCAAGGTGAGTTCTCTTAGGCTAGATGCTTCTAAAGCCAAAAGGTTGCATCTACTCATTGCATATATTTATAGTCTGTTAATGCTAATGAAGGAACTGTATGGACATGCTGATGAGAGGATAGATTCTCAAGTACTGAAAGTCTAATTGCAGACAAGGTTCTCTTCCTCTAGTTGGCACTTCAATTAAGTGGAACTAGAGCAAGCCCTTTGTATCCAGCCACTTAAAATTGACAAACATATTGGATGAACAGTTAATTCCATCATAATTCCCACCAATCCAAAGATCTCATAGTAAAATATAGGGTCAGATACTGAGTTCTAATTTTTTGAAGTAATGGGCATTTAGGTGCAAGTAAAGGCAGCAGGACTGGGTCTTTCTGTGTTTAACTTTGTGTAGCTGTCGCATTTTGATATGCAGCTTTAGTTCTTATTTATATAAAAGCATTACTATGGTATGCGGAAAATTTAGAACTTGTCTTGTGATTAATTTTATTACATGCAAGCCTAATACCAAATGAAAATAGAGTGTAATGCAGGAAAACAAAAGCAGGCTATTACATTTTATAATTATTCAAATGCATTGACTCCATTTAGAAGGAATTTAAAGACAAGAGGACAAAGTAGGAATAAAAGATTCCTTTTCTAGCTGTCTGCAAGTGCTTCTCTCTTTATCTATATAACGGTTCCCCCCGCCCCCTCCCTCATCTCAGCCTTGATTCTTTATATAGTGATGATCAAGGTAAATTGAATAAAGACCAGTCAGACTTTCTGAATCCTTGAACCGTAAGAAATGCTGTGATCACTGAGGATCTTATTTTTAGAGCAATTCAGATACCAGAGATTTGTTTAAGAAGTGAGCTTCAAGGACTGAAGTGGAGGTGAAATGGGGAACTTTTTTTGTTAATTTGTTTACTGTATAGGACAGCACACAGTTCTTATGCCAGGCATAAAACAAAATAGACATTAGTAACAACACAATCTCATGTCTCAGCCTTTAAGGTACTAGTCCGTTATCAGGTACTCGTTACTTATTTGCAGTTGTTTTGGATTTGCTTTAAGTTGTACGTAAATTTGTAATAGCAGTTCTCATGTATATTTTGAGGTCAAATAACGTTCTGTTGACTATGAGCAAGGTGAGCAGGATTTATCCCATGTAGAGCTTTCCTCTACTAGTTATTGAAGGCTTTGCTCAAAGATGAGTTTCATGTTTCACAAGTGTAAAATCCAGTATGCTTTCTACTCATTCATGGTACTGCATTTTTTCCAATGACTCAGTATAAGGGTCATCTATTTACACAAAACACAGGAGTTTCCAAATGATGTTGAAAGAACTTGGCCTTCCTTCTAGGTACTAGTGATGAATCAGAGCTATTCTCTATTAACATAAAAGGAGTCTTCTAGGCAGCTATTATTAACCATTTCATTTAGATGAGAGCTTTAAAGTATTTTATCCTGACTCTCTATTCTTTGTCATTGTTCCTGAACATTTTTTGTTGTTTAGAACAAATTACATTCTCTCAGTAACTTAAACCACTAAAAAAATAAATCACATGAGAAACTATTACATAAGTCATGTGGGGCTGTACCACAGCTCCTAGTAATATGATGTAGATTAAATCTTTAAAAAAATATAAATAAATTTACTTCAGTCCTCAATTATTCACTATCTGTTCATATCGTTATAATTGTTACTCGGAGGATAATACCACTACTGCAGTAGGTTAAAACAATACATATACTACTACAGATTTCTTTTTAAAAATTTAGTGTACATACACAACTGCTTGATATAACTCAAGTTCCAAGAAAGGTTAAAATATCTTCTGCTACTTGTGCCTTTTTATAAAGTACCAGAAGAAAGTCTTTTCATATCACTTCTTACAGTCTAATTTTTAAAAAGAGGTTTATATTGCCTCTTTGCCACTGCAGAGATGCAGCTGCCACTCTGTAAACAGATGTGCTGTGCTTCTTACTGTAGTAGCATTTTGCTAGAGTCATTAACAGCTCATATAGGCACTTACCCCTCTCCCCAGCCTATTCACCTCAGTGGTGGTGTAAACATCAAAGCTTAATTGAGGTCATTTAGCCTCTGACTTAGTTTCACTCAGGCAGTGCAGTCTTAAAAATGCAAATGAGCAGCATTAATACATTATGAAGGTTGCACAGTTATTTTATACAGATTGAGAATCTGGTCCTATGATTTGTAAAAGGCTTCTACTGAAGCCAGTAGAGCCATGCCAGTTTACACTAGCTATGTAGGATCTGGCCTAGAGGGTCAGGAAAGACAGGAATGGCTCTGCTGTATAATTTATACAAACACGCTTGTACATATGTATACAGGCTGCACGTTTTAAATGCAGTAGCTCTCTATTCATGTTGGGACCTAGAGAGCATATCAAAGAGCTGTTTCACTGTAGTTGGAGCCTTAAACATTTATGTTAATATTGTTTCTTGTATGCATAACTTGAACTTAAGTTTAATGCATGTATCATAGTCTGAATCCTGTTTTTATCAACCATTGGGAAATTCAGATCCTTTTAGCTGTTCTTGGCAATGCTCTGATAAAATGCTTACACTGCGTACTTGTTTTCTTAAACCATCTTGCAGCGTCAGCCAGCATTTGACACCTTTGATGGAGCAAATTCTTTATTTGCTGGATATTTTCCCACATTAAATGAAGATCAGACGCTTCAAGAAGTGCCAACAGGCTTTGATTCAACTTCTTATGGTAAATATTGTTCTGTAGTCTGAACAGCAATATCAACAGCTCAAATAAAATGTATTTGGTATTGGCTTCAGTAACCCTTTCACTTTGAGCAACAATAATTTTTTTTAATGTAAAAACAAGCATTGTGGAGTGTTTCGGGTGGGGGAGTTGTTTTTTAAGTTACTTTAGGGCTCTAACTTTGCCAACACACTTAATTTTATTCGCAAGAGTAGTTACAATGATAGTTTACAGCTTCCCATGTTGAAGCAGAGTTCATGAGCATAAAAGGAATTGGTGTCTGTGGAAAGTTTCTGGAACAGACTTGAGACTGCCTGTGCAATAAGTTGCTAATATTGCTGATAGTTATCAACTTCTTAAGCTTCCATTTCTAGTACTTTAGTCAGACATCATCAAGCAAACAAGCACACCAATATATTGGTAACAAGTGTGATGGAAACACATAGGCACCATCTTGCAATGAACTGTGTGTGTGTGGTTTTTGACCTGCTTTATCATGTGGAACTCCTGACAGGACCAAAGGCTTAAAAAGCTAGAATAGCCTTGCAGCTGCATGCACAGTGCTAAAATCTGAATAAAATTGAATAAAACATGACAACACTATAAACTCAAAGGACTGACGCATGCATAAACAAGCCATTTCATCACAGCCTCTTCTAAAGCTCTCAGACTCGATTGAAAATATCTGGGGTAGAGAGATTGTTACGCAATAGTCACTAGAATTACACTAGAAGATATGAAGCATCTCTTACCTTATTCTCTAACAAAGATCATTAAATCCCCACATAACCAAATTACACTTCTTGCCACCAGAAGTTAGTGAGGATCTGTATCATTATCAATCGCAAAGATTTATTTTGTCATGATGCAGTTTTGCGGACTACAGCTGATTGTAGTAGTGTTGTTAAGTCAAATGTTGGAAGGCCTAAAATGGATGTATTATGACTGGCTTGTTTTATTTAAGTTTTTTTCAGTTCCTCCTTTTGTAGCCACCTAAATAACCAAATAGATTCTCTATCATGATTACCCCTCAACTAAATAGTCACATGTTCTTCTCTCCTCTTTTTTTTTTTTTTTTTTTTTTAAGAGTCAAACAACTGTGAATTGCCACTCTTGACCCCATGCAGTAAGGCTGTGATGAGTCAGGCCTTAAAAGATACTTTTAATGGTTTCACCAAAGAACGGTGTCGCCTGGGTATTCCAAATAGTAAGTGCTTTCTTTCTATAACCTCATTTTTTCACTTAAAAAAAAAAGTGAAAAGTAACAATTAGTTAGATAATTCTCAACGAGAAGGAATTGTACTACTAGAAAGTACAAACATACATCTTGTGTGAATTTGGCACAGGTTTATGTGGAAAGATTAGATATACTAATATAAATGGGGGGCATGCAGAGCTTGTATTTTTCAACATAAGAAAAATGAGCTCATCAACTGTTTAAAACTGAGTAAGGCAGGAAAATTTAGAATATTGTTTTAAAATGATGAATACATTACTGATAGATGAGCTCCTGATGATGAACTACAAATCCTATTTAATTTTGAGTCCCCACTCGTTTCTTTTTAACTAAACTTATTTTAGGTTCTTATTAATTTCAAAGGTTGCCTCTAAATTTTATTTTATTTTTCTTTCTCCCTACAGACCCTTGGCTGTGGACTGAAAACCAAGTTTGTCAGTGGCTCTTATGGGCTACCAATGAGTTTACTTTGTCCAATGTAAACTTTCATCAGTTCCTCATGAATGGCCAAAACTTGTGCAGCCTGGGCAAGGAACATTTCCTGGAGCTGGCACCTGATTATGTGGGAGACATTCTGTGGGAACACCTGGAACAGATGATAAAAGGTAGCTAGATAACCAGAATCTAAACTGTAATTCCAATAATGAAGACAAACACTATTTTAATCACTTTCACTAAATTTTGTATTTAACTACCTAAACAACCTACACAAATGCACTCAAAAATCAGTCCAGACAAATGAAATCAATGAGTCTCACCATGGACACATTCATATGTGCCTCCCAGTCAGTTTGCAGGATGGGAGCCTAAGCAACTGCTCAAAAAAAAAGTGGAAACTTCTTGTTCTGTGGCTACTATAAACTGATTTTTCAACTTCCAAAGCAGTGTAGTAAGTGAATAAGTGCAGGACCAGTACTGAGACAACTACACTGTTGGGCAGTAGCAGACGAACCAGTGGTCTTGTTGTCTAGCTGAACTTGGTTGTGTTGTTATCTTGTGTATAAAACAGTTATCAAAAGCCCTGATCCCACAAACACACACACACACATGCCTAGTATCTTTTGGCTTCTTGGAACTGCATGTGTATACAAATTAAACAGCTGCATGAATGTTTGCAGAATCTTAGCCTTAAAACATGCTGCAGACTTTTAGGCAGGTTGAATATCAGAATTTCATTGGTATTAAATATTACCTGCTAGCAAGTACTCTTTTCAAAAGTTTGTTTGTTTGTTTGTTTGGTTGGTTTTTTTCCACAAAAATACTTAAAGACTTCCTCAGTGTTCCTGTCCAGATCAGTAAATAGAAATGCATTTGTTCTGTTTTTCAGACAGCCAAGAAAAGACACAAGATCAGTATGTTGAATCTTCTCATCTCACCTCTGCCCCTCACTGGGTCAACAACAACTCATTAAGTAAGTCAGTTGAAACACAAGCTTGGTTTTAGTGTATGTAGTATCCAAACTCTGTATGTAGAACATCACTATTGCCAGCTTGAATAAAAAAAAACAGAATGGATAAGTTTTAGTGGGAGTTGTATTTAACCCCCTTTTTTGCTGCCAGCCTTTGAGTGTGGGTAGAGTGGAGGTGGGGGAGAAATTACATGGATCATGGAGTCCCTCTTCCCCCATCCTCCAGCTTTTGTATATTTAGAGTTGTACTTTTAACTCATTAATTCTCTAGCTCTTAATCCATTGATTCCTAAATTAGAAAAGACCTTCCCAGAATTACCTAAGCTCTCTCAGCTTTTTCAGTTGGTTCTAGTCCCTTTGAACCAGAGAGCTCTGAGCAATGGTCTATTAATCATACTGGAGATAACCAGTTATGTGATAATCTGGTTCAAAGCCTTTTGAAGAAAAGGTAGCCTCCCACTGTCACTAGACTTTGGATTAGGATCATAGCATAGTTTTCCTTGCTCTTTTTTTCTCCCCCACTCAGCCAGGTTTTAAGCAAAACAAATTTCTTGGTTGCCTGTGTGTATATGTAGCATTGGGGAGCCCAGGGTTTGTTCTGCTTCCAAGGCATTATGTTGTAACAAGGACTGTTGTGAATTACTTATTAATTCTTTAATTTTCCATTAGGTGTTAATGCGGAACAGAACCCATATGGTATGCTGCTACCTAGCTACCCCAAAACCCTCAGTTACTCCAAACCCGATCTCCTGAATGATGTGTGTCAGACTTCTGCAAGACCAAACCTCCTCAACCCAGATCAAGAATTTCCAATATTCCCCAAAACTCAACTAGAACCAGTTGGTGTGAACTACTGCTCCATGAACCAGGATTTCTCAAGAAATCTGAATTTGCTGATAGATAATTCTGGTAAGGCATACTTTTAGCCCCCTGGCCACATGCTGTATGTTCTTTTTTTCTTTACATAGTTTTGTTTGCCAGAATAATCTAAGTAACAATGATTATATAATAATTTTTTTTTCTTAAGGTAAGCTTAGAGAGCATGAATCAAGTGACAGTGGCACAGAAAGCTATGAAAGCTCAGATTCCTTGCTTCAGTCCTGGAAGTGGCACAGAAAGCTATGAAAGCTCAGATTCCGGGCTTCAGTCCTGGACCAGCCAGTCATCTTTAGTGGACTTACAACGTGTTCCATCCTATGAAAGTTTTGAAGACGACTGTAACCAGTCTCTGTGTCTGAACAAACCTACAATGTCTTTCAAAGACTACATTCAAGAAAGAAGTGATCCCGTAGAGCAAGGGAAACCAGTTATACCTGCAGCAATTCTAGCTGGCTTTACAGGTAAGTGAAGTAACAAAGTATATCTTGTCATCTCTCTCTGTTTTGTCATACACATCTACAGAGGGTATCAGTATTTGTAGTTCAGAAGTATAGTATACCCTTCCTTAGATAACAACACTGTTTTTTTATGAACTGATTCAAATCTAAATATTAATAAAGCAAATATCACTGGACTATTGCTCTATGCAAAGTAAATACAGACCACATCAAAACTAAGACTGCATTCCATTTTTATAACTGACAGTTCTGACTTTCTGAAAGGAAGGTAGATCAGGCAACGTGACCAATTCATTAAGTTCACAGGCACTGACTCACCCACTAACTGTTCATTGCTAGTGGCCTTGCTCAGGTAAACCTTCCTTTTCAGGAAGTTTTGCCAGGGCCAGAACTTCAGGACAGGATCTTAAGATTTTAAATATCTGTCAGCAGAAAGGAATCAAGAGAGAGAAAAAGACGAGGCTTAGTTCAAATCACCATTTTCAATCAAAATGATTATCTTATCTCATTCTAATAACTCCCCTCAGCAAATTTCCATCACAAACGAGCTTTCTGTCGGTGTTCTTTGCCTCATACTAGTATGTTAAAATGAAGTTATTTCTTTATTCCATAATATAGCCTTTAATTGGAATCAGTCATTTTACCGATTCTTATCTTGTTTGTATACAGGCAGTGGACCTATACAACTATGGCAATTCCTTCTGGAGTTACTGACTGACAAGTCCTGTCAGTCATTTATTAGCTGGACCGGAGATGGATGGGAGTTTAAACTTGCTGACCCAGATGAGGTGTGTGCCTAACTTTTTATGAATAAAAAGATTTAAGGTGTTTATCCTGTAAGCAGTCCCTCTGTGGAGTTGCTCCACAAGACGCAAGGTTTACAAAATCAGACTCTTGGTGAAATCTGTTTGTCTGCAAATATGTTACTATACCTAGGCTAAGGTGAAGGACTTCTCAAGGTCGTCAATCAGTCCAATCACTTCAGTGTATGAAAACAATGTGATGGAACATTCCAACTTTGCATGTTACTGTCACGTTTGATTTACAGCATTGCTTATACTGCCTAAAGAAAACCCAGTTTAAGCAATGCAGTTGGGAATGCACAAACATATGACATGTCATGTACATGTACGTATATTGAGGGCTGCATAGTTCCTTTTTTTTTTTTTTTTTTTAAGATATCCATCAAATTGCTACTATGATGCATTTAAAATATATGATCAGAAACAAGTTTCAGTTACTTAGCTAGAATAAACTTCTTCAGCTTTCTCACTGATGATGAAATTTGTTTTCTGATTCAGTTAAGAGGCCTGATCCAAGGCTCCCTGAAAGACTCCTATTGGTCTCTTTAGGATACAGAGCCTGAAGTGACTCTGTCTCATTCAAGTTTCACTAAAGGAAGTATACTGCACTGTTCATAAATTTACTCTTAACCACACATCTCTGTTTACTGGTGGGTTGTTTTTTTTAATTTTATTTATTTGTATTAATAGCTTCTGGGACGAGGTGTCACATGGGCCCACCTACTCTGAATTGGCATTGTGTCCACTGTTTTGGTCATAAACTGCTTTTCTCGCTTCAAACTAATGCCGGTATTCTGAGCAGAGGCTGTTTATTAAGTGTTCAGCCCTGCTACTCCCAGTCAGCCAAATATCTCCACTGAATTCAGGGCATTTGAACCAAATAAAATGGCTTGACTACTAAATAAATAATTTTTTCCAATAGATCAGCTACTGACTGAGAGATTATTTAATTTTTTCCCCCTCCTTTTGGCTGCAGGTGGCACGACGGTGGGGAAGAAGGAAAAACAAGCCAAAAATGAACTATGAGAAGCTGAGCCGAGGCTTACGCTACTATTATGACAAGAATATCATCCACAAGACTTCAGGGAAACGTTATGTATATCGCTTTGTATGCGACCTACAGAACTTGCTGGGGTACACAGCAGAGGAGCTGCATGCCATGCTAGGAGTGCAGCCAGACACAGAAGACTGAGCACAGCAATCTCAAAAACTGGCAGAGATCACGTGTTCAAACTGTGACAGGGAACCATCTGCAGGCAGCTTTTTTGACTGTTCAGATTGGTGCAACTGTTAAGAAATAAGGGCCTTAAAGAAACAATGTTGTAACCAGGGAAAGTTGAAGGAAGAAGTGGCCTTATTTCATCAGATGCAATGGCTTCATAAATTGCTGCATCAGTCCCTTGAGCAGAACAGAAGTCAGCACGGGGCCAGACTCCAGCCTGAAGACAAAGAAAGGCTCTAGGATTAAATGTTTTTTTTTTTTTTTTTTTTTTTTTTTTTTTTTTTTTTGGCTGTGTGCACTGCCATATTCATCTGGGTGGTTTTTAAAACCAAAGCTTGGATGAGAGACCAGGGATGCATCAGAATTCTAGCTCAAAACTTAAATTATCACTATAGCTTACATTGTATATTATGATCCATTTAAAAAAAAAAAACACTATTTATTTAAAATGGGCAGTGAGAAGAATCTGTAATCTCTTCTAAAGTACATCTTTGTTATACATGAGCATACTGCACATGTACAGAAAGGCGTCAGAACCAGGTATAACAGTTGTAAAGTTCTCTCGGCAGAGGGGAAGGAAATCTCACCATTTCAACAGTCAATTTGTGTATACTGCGATTTTATTTTATTTTATTTTCCTTTTTGAAATTCTGTAATGTTCCTATTTAACAGATATTGTATATTGTAATTTAAACTAATTGTATGTGTGTGTCTTTAGGGGGGGGGGTTGTTTTTTTTTGTTTTTTGTTTTTAAATAGGAAGAAAGTAAACATAAATGTTTGTTTCATGTTTGAATAGGACATACAACCTTCTACAAATATTTAATCTGCCTGAGGGACATTATAAAATGCTAGGAATATGCACATGCTGTTGTATATGCTGGTAGTATAAAAGTCATACAGAGGGTTTCATTCAACATTTTGCCATGAATGTAGCTGGCCAATTCTTTACACATTTTGGCATCTTTACAAGAAACTTGGACATAAAGGGCCTGTTTTGTGGTTTCTCCTCTACCTGAAAGTGAAAATATTAATGTGGATAAATGTCATTTTTCTTTGATAAATGGCATATGTTTTGAACTTCTATGCATGTCCTTTTAAAACAATTTGTATACAAGCAAATTTTTTTCAGTTGATTTGTTTTTTTCTTTACTTTTTTTTTTTGTGTTCCAGTTTATCCTGTATAATTAAAATATGAATTCTATTTTTGGAAATATTTGTGACTCCTTTTCAGAGATCAGGAGGAATTTATGTAGCAGCTATTTTTACTGCAAAAACGATTCACTGGAAAAATGTAATTTGTAAGAAAGCTTTTATTTTTTATCTGAGCTTGATGTACATTTAAATGTGGTGTACATTGTGAGAGGTTTAAAAAAAATCAAATGTTTATTAAAACCTCTTGGGGAAAGAAATTAAATAGTTGTGTGCATTTCTTAAATGTTGATGAATTCCCAGTATCCCAAGACAGTCTGAGGTGGATTTCTTATTTCTGTGTCTGTAATGTAACAATGACATCTGAAGTCTAAGGGCTAGTTTTATTTTACATTGATATGAGAGGAAAGAGTAAATTCAATGAACATAGCTGAGTTACATCAGTGTAAAGCTTGGAGGTGGAGAACTAGGCAAAGGTGCTTTTTTTTTTTGTGTGAGTTTACAAAGACCCTAGACTTTCCCTTTGAGACCTTGTGTTGATGCTCTACCAGGTTACTGCAAGAAAGTAGGATTATAAGAAAATAGGACTGGAAGCGATGTCATGTGGTCATCTAGTCCAGCCCCTTGCTCAAGGCAAGGTCATCCCTGACTAAAGCATTCCAGACAAGTGTCTGTCTAATCTGCTCTTGAAAACTTCCAAGGATGGAGATTTCACAATTTCTTGAGGTAGCCAGTTCCAGTACTTGACCATTTGCATAGTTAGAAAGTTCCTCCTAATCTCCATCCTAAATTTCCCCTGTTCCATCCTGAGTCCTGTCATGGAGAAAAGCTCATCTCCATCCTCTCTGTAACTGCCCTTCTGGTACTTGAAGACCAGTTATCAAATCCCCCTTTAGTCATCTCTTCTCCAGGCTAAATAAACCTAGTTCTTTCAGCCTTTCCCCATAAGTCTTGCCTCTTGGGTCCCTGATCATCACTGTTACTCTTTCTCAGTTTCTAAAAGTTTCATTTCCAATGCACAATTTTTATTCCACCAAAAGACAGCAATAGCATTCATCTAGAGCTGAAGCTTATGGTCTGTTTTTCATATAGTTTCATAGTTTCAGGGTCGGAAGGGACCTAATAGATCTTCTAGCCCGCCCCCCCGCCAGGGCGGGAGAACAACCCAAAAAAAAACACCCTAAAAACAAAAACGGGACTCAAATGAGTCCAGCCAGGTAAGTATCCAGCCTCTTCTTAAAGATCCCCAGGGTAGGGGCCAGCACCACCTCCCTTGGAAGTTGGTTCCAGCTCCTAGCCACCCTAACTGTGAAGTAGTTTTTTCGGATGTCCAATCTGTCCCTCCTCTCCATCAACTTGTGCCCATTACTCCTTGTTATGCCAGCGGGGGCTAGGGGAAACAGCGGCTCCCCCAAACCCTTCTGGTTCCCCCTCGTGAGTTTATAGACGGTCATCAGGTCCCCCCTCAGCCTTCTCTTGTGGAGGCTGAATAGGTTCAGGTCCCGCAGTCTCTCGCTGTAGGGTCTACCCTGTTGTCCCCGGATCATGCGGGTGGCCCTCCTCTGGACCCTCTCCATGTTGTCCACATCCCTCCTGAAATGGGGCGCACAGAACTGGACACAATCCTCCAGCTGCGGCCTGACCAGCATCGCATAGAGGGGGAGGATCACCTCCCTGGCTCTACTCGAGATGCACCTGTGGATGCCCGACAAGGTCCGGTTAGCCCTGCCAACCATGACCTCGCATTGTCGGCCCATGTTCATCTTGGAGTCAATAATGACATCAAGATCCCTTTCCGCCTCCGTGCTCTCAAGTAGGGAGTTCCCCATCGTATAAGTGTGCTGCTGGTTCCTACTACCCAAGTGCAGCACCCTGCACTTGTCTGTATTGAAACACATCCTGTTCCTGTTTGCCCACCCCTGTAACCTATCCAGATCCTTCTGCAATCTCTGGATATGATGGACCTAGTCATATGATGGACCTAGCTTAAACAAAGGAAGAAAAAGGAAGATACATTTCTATTTCCCAATTTCAGCAAAAGAACTTGCATCAGTTGGAAAAATAAAGTCTCCAAAAAACTGCTCACATTAGCACATTTCTTCCAGGAGCTTAAACCAATAATTTGCATTGTGTTACTTTAATGGGCACAACATTAAGTCCCAGGCACAAGTCTCTATGCACTACAAAGGAAGCCCATTTTTAAAGTGTGTTTTATGCCTCAGAACACGGCATGTAGGAAATAACTAGTCTTTTTTTCCCCCAGCAGCCTATAGACAAACGAGTAGCCCATGATTCCCAGTAAATCTCCCTGTTCTTAACATCATGCCCAGTTGTCTTCCAAACAAAGAAACAATGCCAGTCTTTCCAAAGCCTGATTTCTGCAGGCCTCATGGAGCCACTAGTCTGTCAGAAGACTTAGATAAGGTTCTTTGGGTAAATGTGATATCTTTTATTTGACCAACTAAATAGCTGGTACAATTGTTTCAAAAGACAAAATTCAGTATCTCCTATGCTTTAGGGTTGTTGATTAGCATGCAACCTTCATTGATGAAGTTCCACCTTAACTATAAGCAAGCTTCCAAAGGGCTACTGCCCTCTTCAGAGTTCCTTAATTTCCCTTTGATTACCTTGTACAAGGAGTACTGGTTACTGTAAGGCCCAGAGTTTCTAGATTCTGTTCAATTCCCAGTTCTCTTACAGGCTTCTTTCTGTGTAACCTAGGTCAACATACTTCATCTTCATATTCAGCTCCTGGTCTGTAAAACGAAGGCTAAGAGTCTTCCTTTGTCTGTCTTGTCCATTGAGATTCCAAACTCTCTTAGGAAGAGATTTTCTTGCATGTTCAAACAGTGCCTTCCACAAAAAGGACCTTAATTCTGTGCCTGTAGGTATTATGCTAATATGAACAATAAGAATTCATCAGTATACATGCAATTAACTGCAGCAAGATCTCATTTAATCAAATATTAAGGACTCAATTTTTTTAAGATTAAACTGCCTGCATAAATCTAATCATGTAGATTTAGAACACCACTCGGTATAGTGCAGGCTTAAATACAGAATATATTAAACAGATGTTGAGATATATATCAATATCAGCATGTTTAATATATGTTAACATCTCTCTCTCTCTCTATATATATATATATATATGTGTGTGATGTTCCAAATCTATAAGATTAAATTCTTCAGCAATTAGGATCCAGCATGTTTGTATAGCGCAGGCAGAAATACAGAATTTAACCCACAGTGGGTGCATCTACATGAGACGCTACAGCGGAATAACTCATTGCTATGGCACCATAGTGTCGCTGGGCACAAACCATGACAGCAATCCTACTGCACCATAGTAACGAGCTACTACACAGTAGCTCTTTGCTACCGGGCAGTAGCATCTAAAAATAACCATGCAGTGATGGGACTGCACAGTAACGCCGGTTACTTATGCAAGTACTAAATGGCTGTGCAGTAAGAACTGTGTAATCCATTGCATGTGCAGACGCGGCCACTAACATCTTGCAAAGTACTCTGATACCGTACTCCAGAGTAAATGTCTACCAATAGCTAGAGACCACAATATTAATTTTGCTAAGGAAGCCTACTGGAGTCATAAAGGCAAGACAAAACAGTAAAAGAAAGAGAGGAAGAAAGAAAGAAAGTAAGTCAGTCACTTTCATTTGTTTCATGAGTGTATCACAGAATTCTGCAAACCTTAGTGCAAATGATCTGGAGTGGTGCAATTCCATGGAAGTCAGAATTTGAAAGTCTATCTATGAAGTCCATGAATCATTATAATTAGAACCACAAAAAAAAAAACCCAACAGATTTGTCCAATGCAGTAATTAACTTTCAGGTTCCTGGAATGAAATCCAAAGGCCTCAGGGCAGCATTTATGCTCCCCATAAAATGCAGAGCTATGCACCTCAGGAAAGAGTCCAAAACTGCCAACATGATCAGGAACCAGCAAAAATCAGTGTCCTCAAGGTGCAACGATCTGGATCTAACTAATAAGCAGTCCAGAGCACAGGGGTGAGTCTTAAACCCCACCTGCCATATACCTCATCTAGGACTGCCAGGAAGTATATCCAGTCAATCATGATCCATAGCGGGAACCCTCTCCTGAAGTGGGGAGCCTGTGCCCTTTCTTTCAAAGAGCTAGCAAGACTCACTGTTTTCTTTTAAAATGGAGGTGGCAAAGCCACTACCAGCCCCCCTCATATAAATGCTTAATAGAGCTCACAAGAAGTGGAAGGCCTGACCTCAACTTCTGCCACTGCCTGAAAGGATACAAATCTACATCTTCCACCTCCTCCCCACCAAGCGATAGGTTAGTCTGAGTGGAACATCCTGCACCCCTCCTGTTCAAGCTGCACTTCCATGTAGAACAGAATGAAAGTATTCTGCATGAGACTGTTCGACAAAATGCAACAATTGGCCTAGGAGCAGGGAGTGAAACCCAAGACTCCGTCTCCTACAATGGCAGCCTAAATACTAGGCTGCAGAGTTTTTCTACCTTTAATGCCCTCTCTCAAACCTAATGAATTTTTATTGTTTTTTCTTAAAGGGGTGAATTTGGCAGAACATGATTCTCCCATTTAACTTACATTTGTGAGCAGGATCTTTACTAAGTAACTGGACACATTTTGGCTCAGTGAGAGGCAAAGATAAGCCATGAAGAGCAGAGGAGGAAGAGGTGTGGATCCAACAGAAATATCACTGTTGCAATAAACATGGTGTTGTCTTGCCTTCCCCTTCCTTCCCAGCCATTCACAGAGCCTGATCTTGAGGGATACTAAGAACCAGATCAGGTTCCAAAACCCCCCAGCTTTATCCTGTTGCTACTGAATAGGCTGATCTAACTCCAGCTGCCTAACAATCCAACGCAGATGATTTTTGTATAAGGATTAACTGTTTTTGAATACTTTCCCCAATGTCCTAGGCACAAGGCTCCTTTTCTTTAACAGGAATGTGTGCCTGCTTGCTTCTCAACTATTTTTCTGTTAAACAAACATATGTATTGTTGCCAATGAAGTGAGAATTCCACTTTCTCCTCAAGGGGCTTTGTAAGAATTGGAAGGCTCAAAATACATCTTTTCCATACCCATTGCCTTCTCTGTCCATTACCTTCCAAAATAATGAGTTTCCACACGCATACTTTTCTACGCATTTAATCAATAAAAATATATATAAACATCTAACCAGGTATAACGTTCTAAACACCCAAGGAGAAAGTTATTCTGCTAAGTACCACCACAGATAT